ATATAACCCTGCAATATATTAGAATTACAAAAATACATTGATTTCCGTCTCAAAACGATGTCGTTTTGAACTCACTGGAGATAACTCATCTTCATTGACTGCAGAAATTCTTTACTTACTTTTAAAGTTGGTTTGAGTGTCTTTTTTTTCGCGAGAAGTTGATTTTTTTTATTTAAAAAAGTGTTTCTCACTCTAAGTAAGTATTTAAATGTTTGAAAAAATTCTAAACCCACAAAGAATGGAAACTTTTTTTTATTTAAAATTTCTGACTTTTAAAAAAGAGTAGAAGTGAAAGTTAAATATTTTTATCGAAATTTCAATTTTCCCTACCCTAACTTCAACCTCAACCAATGCCTCCACCACCACATCTCAAATTATCAGCATCGTAGCACATCACCTTCACAAAAAAATGCTATATATCACGAATAAAATTGGTGAAATTGTTCCCATATGAAGTAAAATATATATATATATATATATATATATATATATATATATATATATATAAATATATATATATATATTAGCACACTATTTTTGTTCCATTACTTTTATATTTTTAAATTATAAAATCACAAATTTTCACATTACAAATCTTCTTCACTTTTATTTATCTAAATAAAAAAGTGTAAAAAGATATATAAGTTATGAGGGGAAGGATATTGTGACAACCAAGCTGTGTTACTATACCAAGTGACTACCAATTAATCTCACCGTTAGATCGATTATGTTGATCCAACGGTTATATTTATTTCCATCTTTGTATGATTATGATTTCCCATATTTAATGATTTCACTTTAAATTTGGAAAACCATGACCATACAAAGATGGAAATAAATATAACCGTTAGATCAACATAATCGATCTAACGGGGAGATTAATTGGTAGTCACTTGGTAGTAACACAACTTGGTTGTCACAATATCTTTTCCCAAGTTATGATATGAAATTATCAAAATTAAAAAAATAATAATAATCACCCACACATAGTCTTTTTCGGTCTAAGTCTAACTAGTGTTATTAAACTTGGCTCGGATTGGTTGGTTTGACCCAAAAATCAGTGAACCGATGATACAACCGGTCCGAGTGAGTCAATGGATTGGCCATGTAACAGACTTGGTGAGAATCGGTTTGACTCGGTCAGTTTTTTGACAAAAATCGATGGCCCGACAAATTTTCTTTAAACCGAATGAACCGGTGGTCATGCAAATTTTTTTTTAAAAGACAAAGATAAAATAGTGAAATGTTGTATTTTTACACCACTACGGGCAATCCAAATTCCTAAATTGCAACACAAATATATGTATAATTAAGTATTTTAATATTTTTGTGAAATTTCAAGTATAAAATATAAATTTGCATATATTTAATATGAGGTATGATCCTTTGACACCAGTGTCAAATTTGAAATTTGACACCTTATCTGACAGCCGTTAGATCAAAAAGATCAACGACTCTGATTTGTAAGCATGTGACACCATTGATATTTTTGATCTAACGGCTCTCAGATAAGATGTTAAATTTCAAATTTGACACTGATATCAAAATATTCTACCTCATTTAATATATTTATTCATATCAATCGAACCAATGACCTATTAAATCGGTACCTTGGCCTAGTAAATCACCGGGTGTGATTTAATAACATTGATTGTAACTATAAGCCCCTCCAGTTTTTTTTTTTATCATCTAAACTCGTTTCACACATTCTTGTCATTTTACGAAATTCACGGATGTTTGTTTCCTTTTGTTGGGTTATCTGTTTTTTTTATTATGTCATTGTTTTCAAAACTTGTTCTCATTATTTGTTTTTAGAACATAAATGAATTTTAGTTTTTAAAATTTTTAAATTCATGGGTGTCAGTTTGTCACACATAGTTGCCCATAAACCGGTCCCGGCTGTGATTGTAAATTTACTCTACAAATTTTTTTCTTCTTCTTATTTTTAAAATTTTCTACTCTTACTTATAATCACGGTCCTACCCCGGAGAAAAACTTCAGTGCTGCTGGAGTATCCTATTGGATACTCGTTTTTTCGAATTTTGAAAAAAATAATAATAATTTCTTTCTACTCCTTTTTTTCTATTTTTATTCCTATGTAAGTCCTCAAAGATGTACCATACATCTTTAGCATAGAAGATTTTTTCCCTATTCAGAGTCATTTCCACTGCCACTATAGCTACCGTATCGTTGAAGCTACCGCCCCAGACACTACCATTATTATTAGTGGAATATATATCAAATTTTTTAAACTTAATTATTCTCTAAACAGAATTAATCGAGTAAGTTTTTGTTGATATTTTTTAATATTATTCCTCGGTTAATTAATTATTTGATTAATCTCGAATTAGGTAAAATCACATACGCAGCAAAGTTCAAATTAAAAAGTCCTCAGTTTCCTGATAATCATCCTTTTCCTCGAAATTAATCATCAAATTTCTGTAGAAATGCAATGGGCATAGCTAATAAGGCAACCAATTTAATTTAAAAAGGAAAAACAAATTGAAATAATGCAACTTTGAAACATATTATCAAAGTAATCTAATGAGTCCGTATGGGATGAGTAGGGAAACAGTCTATGTGAGAGAAGCGCAGAGTTATACTTTGAACAATTTAATAAGAGTAAATATTATTTTTGGTCCCCAGCAAATTTTACGATATTCTCTTTAGTCCCTAGCAAATAAAAATGCCGTTTCTAAAAAATTCAAAATGGACCCATTTAGTTGAAATCGTGGTCCCTCACAAATTTAAAAAAGACCCATGTTAGTCCTCAAAAGGACTAAAATTGGTCCATTTTGAATTTTTTAGGGACCACGATGGGCCTTTTTATTTGCTAGGGACTAAAGCGGGTCTCGTAAAATTTGTTGGGGACCAAAAATGATATTTACTCGTTTAATAATGAACATTTACCACGGTTAAAATATAACTGTTAGATTTGCATGTATTCGACACTGACCCAATTCAGATAGTTTCACATTTGAATCACTGTCACTCTTAGAGAATAATTAAATTATTAAAAAGATTTTCACCCAATACATTAAGATTTTGGGTTAGATTGGTTCTTTACTTCTTTATATGATACCAGAGTTTAAGTGACTATAAGGTTACGAGTTTGATTCTCACTATCCTCACTTGTAAAATTAAATAAGCATAAGATAAATCAACAAAAAAAATTTGGACCTATCCAATATCCGCGTTTCAAACCCGGGCTATTGTTTACTTTTTAAATTAAATGGGTAGCAAAGAAACCAAATAATTAATGACTTAATGTAAGCTTCTCCAACTTGCTTTTCAATCTTTGGATTATCATGGAAACAAGATATACATTATCTGTTAAGTGGGGGAAAGAAAATACAGCGGTCAATTTGTTCCCCAACATCAACATGGCATACATATACATACATCCCTTTCGTTTCTTTTGTAGTGTTACAATTACAACAGTGACAGGAATATTGTAGGAGTAATATTTTATACCAAAAAAAATAATAATTGGAGTAATATACAAATTTGTTATGTTATTTTTCAAATTTGTCCGTTTCTGTTCATGTATATCCATTACAGATTAGAAGTGTTTTAAATTAAATTACCAAAAGTCCATAATAAGCTCTCATTCATTTTCAAAACTCAGTTCAACAATATTCGAAAATGGTTGTTGTCCACAAACAGAAATATTATATAATATAGAGAAGCAATGAAGACCAACACTGCTAGTTGCACAGGCGCAAACAAAAACATCAAAACAATTCTGTTTTGATACTCGACCTAAAGTTGTGGTTGTGAGACATCCAACCTAACTCTCTCCCTTGCCGCTTCCAAAAAAAAATGGCAAATTAATTACAATTTTCAAGCATATTAATGAGCAATAGTTTTTTTATTAATAATATAGAGGTATCACCACACAACCTCCTCTAGCCACCTTGTCCTCGGAGTAAGACTTCTAATACTAGCTTCTCATTGCAGAGGATGTATTGGACAACTGTTACCGAAAGAAAAGTAACACTAATCCCCTTGAGGCCTACAAAGAATTCACTAGCCAAATCCCTATCTTCTTTCATATCCCTCATATTCAATTACATGCACTAGCATTTGACCACTGTTTAATTATGATTTGTCTTTATGTTAGAGAAATATAAAAATTATTAATATAGTCTCAGCCAACCGTTTAAGTTTTTGGGTTGAAATGATTCTTTTAAGGTATCAGAGCCTCCATTATCGGTGGTCATGAGTTCGATGCCTTCCATTTAATTAATAAATAATTAAGCATTGGGGAATTTGTTAACACATATATAATTAGATTTTTGAGTTAAAATGATTTTTGGACTTATATATATATATATATATATATGACTTTAATGTTTCTACAAGTGAATGTAGATAAGATATCTACATTCGCTCACAAAATGACGTCGTTTTGAGTTGAAAAATTAAAAAATTATAATAAAAAAGACTATTATAACCCTTAAATAAATTATAATTACAAAGTCTATAAAAAAAATTATAATTACAAAAATACGACGTCGTTTTGGACTCAATATAGATAAGTTATATACATTTACCTTAGAAAACGCGAATCATATATATATATATAGGTCACGATCATTTTACACCAGTGTAAGTTACACTCTTAATCTTATCCGTTGATTCTACTTATATGTAAGAGCTCTAATTTTTTAGTATGTGAGTCATTGGATACAAGTGAATTAATGGTCAAGATTTAGTGTAAGACTTCTAACTCTTACACCGGTTTACACTGGTGTAAGAATATCCTGCCCCTATATGTATATATATAGGAAAAAATATGTATCATTTCAAAGGATGTAAAGTTGTGTCATTTTAAGTGAGAGAAAGAGATAGATAAAAGAAGAAAGAGAGTGAACAAAAATATATAAAGATGTGGGTCTCACTTCTTTGTGAGAGTAAAAAGATATAAAGATAAACAGTTTTTCCATATATATAAGTAGAGTTTTCATTTCATTATTTATATTCTAAGGTTGAGTTTGTGGTTAGAGTGGTAAAATAGTACTATTCATGCTAGCGGAGTCACCTTTGAGGATCACAAGAGATGAAAATGAAAGCCAAGGTGAGATGGAGAGTTTCTCGATCGGAGTTGATGACTTTGCTGACCTTTCCGACGGGAACTTGTTGGAAAGCATTGACTTCGATGACCTATTCGCCGGCATCGACGTCGACGGTGACATCTTGCCAGATCTCGAGATGGACCCTGAAATGCTGGCTGAGTTCTCCGTCAGTGGCGGTGAGGAATCCGAGATGGTCTCTTCGGTTTCAATGGTTAACAACAAATCTGATAACGATGATGATAGGAATATAATTAACACGACAAAACACGATGAAGATAAAACAGCTTCTTCGGATTCGGGTGCGAATTCTGGGTCAAGTAGAGGGGAAGAGATTGTGAGCAAAACAGACGAATCCGTGGTTGTGAATCCATCGCCTAAGGAAGGTGACAAAGTAAGAAAATCTTCAGCCCTATCAAAGAATCCTCATGGGAAGAGAAAGGTTAAGGTAAATTAACTTGATTTTTTTAAATAATTATTTTAATCCAAAAATTTAAATCAGAACTGATCGAATTCGTGACTATTTAATCACGTAATCTCTGAAATCTTGATATTATATAAAAATTTAAGGTGTTAGATGAATGATACTTTAATAATTTCATATTATATTATGTGACTACTTATCTAACTATAACACTCTTTTCCTTGCTTAGGGAATATATAAAAATATTTTTTTTTTTGAATAGGTAATTTGTTGATTAGGTTTCAGTGAAGTTCATGTGCAGTGAGGTAACCCTTAATGGATCTTCCCAAAGTTCCTGAGTGTTAAGAGTACTCACGGGTACTATAAGTTGAAGAGAGAGAGTGTGTGTGTGTCAGAAGATTGAAATGAACTGTTCATTGATTATTTTGCCGGACTTTTTATTTGTAGTGTAATGGATTTTGTTTTATCTTGGGTTGTGTGAAGGTGGATTGGACCCCAGAGTTGCATAGGCGATTTGTGCAGGCAGTAGAACAGCTAGGAGTGGATAAGGCTGTGCCTTCAAGGATTTTGGAGATTATGGGAATTGATTGTCTCACTCGCCATAACATTGCTAGCCACCTTCAAGTACATCCTTCAATTCCTTCTCCTTTTATTCTTTTCACTCTCTTTTACAAATTCGAAGGACCAAAACACAAAAAAAAAAAAGATTATGCTTGTTATCGTTACAGCTATTTGTTTTAGTTAATAAAGAGGTTGTTACTTTCTCTATAACATAGAACCTTTTAAATTGGACGCAGAAATATAGATCGCATAGGAAACATTTGCTAGCGCGTGAAGCAGAAGCAGCAAGCTGGAGTCAACGGAGGCAAATGTTTTGTGTAGATAGAGGAGGTGGAGGCAAGAGAAACGTGAGTCCTTGGCTTGCACCAACAACCATGGGTTTCCCTCCCATGACACCAATACACCATTTTAGACCCTTACATGTATGGGGGCATCACACGATGGACCAATCATTTATGCACATGTGGCCTAAACATATACCTTGTTCGCCTTCACCACCAGCATGGGCACCGCGAGACCCTTCATTTTGGCATCAAATGGTTAACTCTTTTTTGTCTTTTAAATTATTTGAGCTATCAAACCCTTAGATTCATTGTATTGTGATGTACTTAAGAAACTTTCTCCAAAACAACCAATCCTATAACCCCATCAATTTCTTTGCTTGTCTAAATTGGCATTTTCTTTTTTGATACAGGCTCCAAATGCACCAATCCCAGGAACCCCTTGTTTTGCACGACCTCTGACAACATCGGTAACTATTCTTTGCCTTTATTACTCTTTTTGGAGCAACTCAAGTTGTCTTCTCCTTTGAAAGTTGCGAATAACTTTATTCTATAAAATTAATAGGAAAATGATTCATTTACAAATTACAAACATGATCGGTTCAATATTCTTGATTAGTGTATGACTAGTCAGACATAATATTTATAAGAGTTGGTAAACAAAAATTTTGTAAATATAACCTTCACCAAGTTAATATTGGCTTATTTAGTCACGCAAATAACTCTAGTATAATTTTGGCTCACTCACTTTGGAGGAAACACAAAAACATGCAGAGATTAGGGTCTCCAACTGTCACGGGTATGCTACCACCACATGTCATGTACAAAGTAGATCCCAGCATTGGCGTCCCTGCAGGACAACCACGACCTCGACCACTCTTCGACTTCCATCCGGTAAAAAAATAAAATAAATTTTTGTTGAGATTAGTTTCTTTTAAATAATTTTTTAAGAAATTATTCTTTCTAATCTACGAGAATAGTATTTAAATTAAATTTTTTTTATGACTTTTAACTTCTTTTTTTAAAAAAAGTGAGAATAAATATATTTTTTAAATAAAATACAAACTAACACTCGAGATTGATTTGTCGTTATGCCTTGATAGTTAAGCCAAGCTTTGTTACTTGGTGTTTTATTTCCTTGCATACACACGCCAACATGTTTGCATGTGTACAAATGAAGTTATGGTTTGGTATATTTCCCTCTCTACGGTCATTTTCTTTCTTCTCTCTCCACATTTCTCTCTTTCTCGAATATTACACACTCCGGAGAAGTATCATTGTTCATCACCATATATGGAGAGATTTTTTGGTGCTCCAAGATCCCCATATTCCTTTCTAAAAAAAAATGAGGGATTAAGAGGGAATTATGAAAAAAATGAAGGGATTTAAATAAAATCACATTTTTTTCATTTTGAGAAAAGGGATCAGCCAATTTGGGTGGTCCTGCACCACTAAAATATTTCCCTATCTATGAATACAAAGTTTTGTTTGTTGGATTCGCGTACTTCTTGTGGACAGTTAATTTCATGTTTCATTTCACATCTAGCCAAAAAAAAAATAAAAAAAATCACACAACAAACTAAATATTTGTTTTGCTGAAAAGATATGCAAAAGAAAGAAAGAAATATATATATAAGACAGGATCCGTTTACAAACTTTTTTTGCAATTACACTAATTTAGGACCGGTCGTACTGTGTGATTAATGTAGGACCGGTCCTACATAGTATAGTTTGTAAGAGTTTGTAAACAAAAAAGTTTGTAAATATAACCTGCCCCTATATATATATATGGGAAAAGTGTTTGTCATTTTAAATGACGTAAAGTTACGTCATTTTAAGAGAGATAGACACAGAATAAATTTTTTATTTAAATTTTAAAATAAAAAAAATCGGGCATTCTCTCTCTCCCATGATTTTCATTTTGTGTCTATCTCTCCTAAAATGACATAACTTATGTCGTTTAAAATGACAAACACCAAGCCCTATATGTATATATGTGTGGGGGAAGGTTATATTTACAAACTTTTTGTTTATGTTAAAGAACCACTTCAACCCAAAACCTTAAAGTGTTGGGTGAGGGCTTTTTTAATGATTTATATTATTCTCAAACACACCCTCTCAGGCAAGAGCCCTTTGGGCTAGAAGCGTGGATATTACACATGCACTCCCTCACGCAAGAGCCCTTTGGGCTAGAAGCGTGAATATTACACATGCCCAATTTTTAGTTTACCTTTTGTACTTTTTATTTTAATTCCACTTTAAAGTGGGGGGTGGTGAGGATCGAACTTGTGACCTTGTAGTCACTCAAGCTCTGATACCATGTTAAAGAACCACTTCAACCCACAACCTTAAGGTTCTGGGTGAGAGCCTTTTTAATGATTTATATTATTCTCTAACAGTTTACAAACTCTTACAAACTACACTGAGTATGACCGGTCATACTTCAATCAAGAGGGTATGACCGATCATACTTGGTGTAATTTGTAAACAAATCATTCCCCTATATATATATATAGGGCTTATTATTTCTTTAGCTACTTGAGATAATTTTATCTCCGATCCCTCCAAAACTACGTCGTTTTATTTATTTATTTCCTTATATTAATTGATTTACCTTTAAATGGTTATGATTCTCTTTTTCTCTCTCTTCCTTTATCACCATTGACCCATCTTTGTACGGTTATGATTTAGTAGCCGGAGATAAATTATTTCAAGCTGAGAAATAATAAGCCCATATATATATATAGATTATTCTTACAATTGTAAAAGTAAAAGGTTTTCCACTTATTAGTATTGTCTATTAATATATTCATATATAATAACTCCCGTAACTAAAAAATTATAATCATTAAATATAAGTAGTTTCAAGTATCAAGATTGAAAATTTAAGTTACGCTGATTTAAAATATATCAGCATAGAGTTATATTTTATGAATAGCATAAATAATATTGCTTGGTTAATAGAACTTGTGAGTTGTTTTGGCAGTCAAAGGAGAGCATAGATGCAGCTATTGGAGATGTTTTAGCAAAACCATGGTTGCCGCTGCCTCTTGGGCTTAAAGCTCCAGCGCTTGATGGTGTAATGGGTGAATTACAGAGACAAGGAATTCCAAAAATTCCACCTTCTTGTGCTTGAACGGCAATCCTATATGGGAGAGGAATTTTTTTTTCCCTCATAAATATTGGGAGCGCTGTGAAGGCCACAAAACCCTAATTCGACGACTTCTCAATTCTCAACTATTGCATGATAGATCTAAGCTAGGATGCGAGCGCTTTCTTCATATTGTTCTTGTTTTTGCTTGTTTTAGCAATAGAGACTTTTAAGATCTTTATTTAATTTGTTCAAGTGCTGTATCCAGCACGAATACTTTGAATTGAAGTCTTTATCATCAGCCATTTTGTCTAATATGTGTGATTATAATGGCTGTGATTTTTGTATTAGTCGTAGATGATATGTTGAGACTAATAAGGTGAGGAATCTCAATAAAGTACTTTATTGAAAGATTTTTTTTTGGTGGACATCTAGTTATTAAATGAGTTACTTTCAGCTTTCATATGTACACACACAAGTCTAAGAATATAGCAATATAGATGCTATCCTTCTCTATCCATTTGAATTGAGATTAATACGATTTATGATGAACGGATAAAGATTTTTATTTTACTTTTTTAAAAAAAAAGCGCCATAAGTTGGACACATGCATGGGCTTTGCAATTTCTAAAGTGGGAATAATTTCCCTCTATACATTTACACAAATGAAGGTAGTTAAAGAACTAGGCATGTTTGATGCACCGTATATGATGAGGTCTGATAGTATAAGATCTGATAGTATAAGATCTGATTAAATTTTAATATTATCCAGTGTTTGACATGATATTATATAAGATAATATCATCTAGTGTTTGTTAATGCACTGTTTAATACTAGATATGATAAAAATAAATATTTTTGATAAAAATATTCTTTAATAAAGAATTTATATAATTCTTTCAAATATGTCATATGATATTAATTTTTAAAAAAATCTATTGATCAGTGTGTCCATAAAATATATTAATTTTTTAAAAATAAAAAGATCCAATATTTTAAAAATTAATATATTGAAAATTTCATTTTTTATTTTAATATATTAATTCTTTAGAATTGCATTGGTCAATGTTAATACATTAATCTCTTATCAGACATAATCTCACCCCATAGGTTTGATTAAGTTATACATCATTTTGATGTATTAGGGAGACTTTGTTGTATAAGCCTATATTATATGATGATCACACCAAACAACTAAAAATGTCATAATAGATAGTATAAGTTTATACTATCAAGTCTTATTGTAACGACCCAAAATTTTTAAATATATAAAAAAAACATGGGGAGTCGCCACCAATTTTATTTTAATGAAAAAATTGAAATTTTTTTTGTTGCAAACTGATCTTTTAAAATTTTAGATCAAGGTTCGAGAGTCTAAGTATGTACAGGGAAGGTGGAAACTTAATCTCACTGCACCCTTGACACATCCGTTAAAAAATTGTTATATTCAATTAATTGTGTAAATTGTTAGCTTTTAAAAATATTTGTTTTATTCCTTAAAAAATAAATATGATTGTTTAGGAAGTAGGAAGACTAAATTTTAAAATTTTATTTTAACTTGACGAAAAGTGTTCCGCTCCGACATATCCCTTGGTGCAATGAGAAAATCAAAGTTATGTCGTTCTTTAGAAAATGTTTATGTTGTTGGTTGATTTTTAAAAAATAGTTTAAAATAATTTTACTTTAGGGAATTCATTAAGTTTTGGGAATTTAAAGTCATCAGGATATTATAGCCAAAATGACATGAAATAAAATATGTGACATCAACAAGTCGTCGAGGTCAAATTATCTCTATATGATAGAATAATTTTAATATTATGTGTTTTGTTATTACAGAGTTAATGATAAAAGAAGTTTTGGACTATCAACTGGCACAACTAAAATAATTCTGAACATGTTCAGGGTTGACAAGCCATCATGGCTAAATCACCCCTATAAAATAATTTTAATGATATAAGTTTTATCATTATAAAATTTATGATAAACCAAGTTGTCACAACTAAAGTAACGTGAAAGCCACATACTAAGAGCCTGTTTGGATCCTCTTATTTTTAAGCTAGAAGTTACTTATAAGCTAAAGCTAAAAAAAAGAGCTTAAAAAAAGAAGCTAAGAGCTGTTTGGAAATTATATAAAAAACTTAGCTTAAAAATTACTTAAAAACACATATTTCAAGAAAATTATCTCTCTCTCCATCTTTATCACTCTTCATTTTAAAAAAAGCACACAATTCAAGAAAAACAAATAAGAGCTTAAAAAAAAGGAGCTTTTAATTTTCAGTTTTTTTCTTCATTATAAAAAGAAAAGCTTTTCATTATAAGAGCTTTTCTCAAAACCTGTTTGGCCTAGCTTATGCTTATAAGTAGTTTCTAGCTTAAAAAAAAAGATGATCCAAACATGCACTAAGCAAGCCATTGTGGCTAAACTTACAATTATTTTATTATATATATATCATAAAATGATTTCGAGAATGGATGTATATATCATAAAAGGGAAAAAAGTTTTCGATGTTACTTTAGATAACTTTATCTAATGTTCATCGAAACAACGTCGTTTTGGGATTGAAAAATTAAAAAATTAGAGTGATAAAGACTATTATAACCCTGAAATAAATTAAAATTACAAAAATACCATGATTTCCGTCTCAAAACGACGTCGTTTTGATGAACATTAGATAAAATTATTTAAAGTAACATCAGAAAAAACAAACCCATCATAAAATGTCAACAATACTTTCTTATTTTATTATATATAAAAAATTTGAGTCTCTTAACATTCTAAAATTTATTATTACTATTATTCTAAGGGTTTGTCTACTCTCATGTTGTAGGAGAGATCATATCTTATGCTAAGACACAAGATGATGGGACCCACCACTAAAAAAGAAAAAAGAAAAGAAAAGAAAATAACAGCACACTTATCGAAGTATCTATGGCATAAGATAGTAGTATCCTACAACATGAGATTACTATTTCCCTTATTCTAATATGCTTGAAAGAGCCTTGGCTTCCATTTAGCAAAACAGGTTACAGGAGGTATGTATCAAAATGTGAGCAAACAATAGCACGATATGAAAAAGAAAGAAAGAAAGAAATATAACAGTATTAATTATTATTATTTTTCAATGTCCTCTAATACTTTTATTTTATTTGCTCTTCATAAAATTTTTCTCGTTTAACTCTAATCTAATCATCCTTTATTTTTTTTGGAAAAAATCACTTTAATAATACAAGCTGTCTAAACATAAACAAAAACACTTCGTCATTGTCCTGGACCCATCTTCCTAATAGGCCAAGGCCCATTCTTTTTGAAAGAGAGCAAAGACATCATGAATAAATTAAAACCAAACAGAAAAAAATAAAACTAAAATATAATAAAGAAAAAATATCTAAGCCCTAAGCAATTAAAAGAGGAAAACCGAGAGCACTATGGAAATATGGTGGCAGCGAAAAGGTGGCTTTGGACAGCCTAGTAACGGAGACGTGATGATGGAGAATGGATGGCAGGATCATGGGTCTTTGCACTGAGTTTCATGGTTATGAAAGTCTATACCTTGATGGGTGATTAGAGGATGACCAAAGATTTGTGGGTAAAGGAGCAGAGATGGCAACCATCATGGTAAGGAGGTGATGGTGTGGGGCTGTGTTTATTAAATTCGGAAATGGATTTGTCGAAAAAATATTATAGGATAGGAAAAAGTGTTTATCCTTCTAAATGACACAATTTACATCATTTTTCTCTCACAAAGTAGTGGGACTCACACCTTTATTTTTTTTTGTCAACTCTCTCTCCTCCTTTATCTATCTCTTTCTAAATATGATAGGAAAAAGTGTTTATCCTTCTAAATGACACAACCTTACCTCCTTTAAAATGACAGACACTTTTTCGTATATGATAATGTGAGAAGATTATAATTATACAAAAATGAATAACGATTATAATTTTATAATTATTTATTTTAATATTTTCATTTTTTTATTACATTTATTTAGTTATAATTTTTCACGTAGACATGTCAAAAAAAAGAAAGATAATAAGACAGCCGTTGCAATCAAAAGTTGAAATAGATGTGTATCTCACTTTTTTTTTGAAAGAAGTGTATCTCACTTTTATACATATATCAGAATATATATACAGCAAGCACAACATTTAAAAAAAAAAATTATGGTGAGTCAGGACTACCGTGTCCTTCAATTGAAATTTTGACACTTTGATTAAAATATTTTTAATCTTTTGTTTCTCTCCTCTCTCATCAGTTTTTTTTTTTTTACTTTTCCGTCCCACTAAATATTATGTGTTGATGAAACACTAAATACGTTCTCAACATTTAAAAACACAAAGAGGAGGGTACTCTCAGAATAAAATCTCTCTTTTCTTTTGTTATTCTAAGAAACCCCATCTCAGAAGTAGATCTCTCCTTTTTATTTCCTCATAACTCCATAGCTCTCCTAGAGCCAGAAACCCATCCCCCTTCTAATCTAACCTTCGCTTCATTTTTATGGCCAGAAGACTTTGAGGTCCCCAATGTAGTCCATTCAAAGATACAAGAGCAATCCACTAGGATTAGCCTAGTGATGTGGGGTGTGTTAGGTATTTGTAGTGTGTGTTCAATTCTTATGTAATGCAAAAAAAAAAAAAAAAAATACAAGAGCAACAGTACATTTGTTACTTTCAAGTTTCCTTTCTTATGAATGCTTTCCAGGTTCCTTTCCTTTCATTTTTTATGCCTCTGCCTATTTTCGTTAATCATGTCTCCATGTCTCTGACGTGAATACCTTTTCTAACGCAGACTTTGGCATCTAGTTCTTCTTTTTTTTTATTAGAATAAATATTCTTTTGTCCTCGACATAAAAACATCAAATCTATTTTAATTCTTTAGAGAGAAAAAAATTTAATTTGTGAACGTTCTAAAATTTTAGTTATTTAAAATTATAGTCCCTCAAAATTTAAAGAAAATTCAAATTAGTCTCTTAAAAGAATTAATATTAATATTTTTTTTCCTAAAAGATTAAAATAAATTCCATGTTTTTAGTTTTTAGAATAAAATTTGTAGAACACCTTTAGCTTATTTTTGTTTTGATTTTCACTTTTCTATTTTGAGAAGTATAAAAACAAGGAGAACACTCTGTTTTCATTAACGACAGCACCGTAAATAACAAAACATTATTGCTGTTTAAAAGAGAACCCAAAGACAACCACGTGGGTGGATGTGATGGTTCAGCATCTCGTCCCTTAAGCAAGTGGTTGAGGATTTGAATCCCAACTCTTGTGAATGGAAAGCATTCTGTGGCCAGCTCTTTACCGCTTTGTGCGCTGACCCGGGGTGAGGATTAGTCTCATAGCTATCGGCTGTGGGGATACCCAGATGTAATCCAAAAAAAAAAGAACCCAAAGACGAGTGGGAAAAGTGACCAAAATGTCATTG